GCAGTGGATCCATCTCACTTCCTTTCTCTCTGCACCTGCTTCATCTTTCCCGTCTTACTGTGTCTACTCGGTGTTGGCCTGGGGCTCGCTGGAAGGCCATTTCCTCCCAGCATCTCAGCGTGCTGGGCACCAGTCCCCTCCAGCCTTGTCTTCCCACATCTTTCTGGGGCTTGCCGTCAACACCCTCTGGGGATTTGGACCCAGAGGTGGCAGCTCGAGGGCCCTTCTACAGAGACACACGTCCTTCACTCCCTTTCAGTCTTTCCACCCTCCCGTCTCTGCAGCTCTGTCCCTGAAGTGTTCCCTCTTTCCCTCTGTGCTTGAGGAAAACTACTCTCGTAATCAGATACTGTGCTTTATCATCTAAATACTATGTCCTGAGCACCTGATGTTCTTTCCTTTCCAGAGCTCAAGAAACCTTTTCTTTTTTCCCTCCCAAACATGCCTCCGCCAGAGGTTTAAAAACCTGTTTTGGAATTCAGTAGAGGGTTTTGAGACTACTGTCTGATTCTTTCATTCTTCTTGGCATTTTTGGTGTCCTTTCTTCCCTGGGGGCAATATGCCTCAGCTTTAAGATTCAGCATAAATGAGGGGCGCCTGGGTGGCTCAGTCGGTTGAGTGTCCGACTTCGGCTCAGGTCATGATCTCACGGTCTGTGGGTTCGAGCCCCGCGTCGGGCTCTGTGCTGACAGCTCAGAGCCTGGAGCCTGCTTCCGATCCTGTGTCTCCCTCTCTCTCTGCCCCTCCCCCGCTCTCACTTTGTCTCACTCTGTCTCTCAAAAAAAAAAAAAAAAAAGATTCAGCATAAATGATAGAAGGAGAATAAACATAAGTTATCAAGAAGGAAAGATATAAAATACTATTCTCACTACATGCATCTGTTTAACTGTTGCACTTTACTTTGCAAAAGCCGTTTACAGGGCTCACTAAACATTTCATTTCCATCAGAGCTTCATCTCCTTGGAGGTGGAAGATAAAGTTACCTGTTGCTGCCCTTGAACAGGAATTAGAGAAATGGGGTCACCAGGAGCTAACTACTACTATCTTCTTCCAAACTTTGCAGTGGATCGTGCCATAAAGCAGCTTGAGCTATCAGACATCAGCTCTGAGAGGGGCCACTGGTATAGACCCTTCAGTCTCTGTGGATATGGCCAATAAAAGATTTGAAAGGAGTGTAAAGTGTGTATATATGCGCTTGAGAAGTCATTGGCAATGCCTGGTTCTTTCACTGCCAGTAATAGTCATTCACTTTTTCCCTATAATTCAATTCAGCTTCATTCTGGACCGATTCAAATAGGAAGCCGACATGATGTCTACCAAAAATCATTTTAATCTTCAAGTCCCATAAAACAATATAAGACACTCCTATAACTCACTTTCCTGGAATGAAGGTCATAGCAACGAAAGCACTTCCAATTTTAGTTTTAGAAACCGGTTCATGCATTTTACATTGAAGTAAGCCGAGTTCCTTTCTGTGACAGTTGGAGAGTTGTTTTAAATCTCAGCCAGTAGGTAAAGAATAATTTCTGATGTACGTTTTTGCTTTGAAGAGACCATGGACTCCATTAATAAAACAAATGCTGAAACACATTTGGTTTCCTTGAGAAGCTACAACCTGCCTAGTCTCTGCTTGACAAACGGAGACAAAATTAATTGTGAGAAATTTTATATTACAAGTTAACATGGGAGCCGAGGGACTGGTCCTGAAGAGTGACAATGACATAATGTCACGAGAGTGACATTACATTCCAGAGCCACAAATCCTTCATGACCCCTGCCCGCAAGGGCTTTTGGATGGAATTTCTAAGCCCTTGCAGATCCATATGCAACCTTTCAAGATAATCTATACCTCAGCTGGTTCCTAAACCTCAAAATTACTGCCCACAGACAAAAGCATAATTTAGAAAAGAAACTCCCATAAAAATACACAGATGAAATATAGGTTGAAAATGGTGTATAATTACTGGTACATTACTGATCATTACTGGTGTGTTGAGTTTGCTCTGATTAAAGAGATAATAAATCTTCAAGGAATTAAATAATTCTTAAAAGGCAAAGTGACAGTTAATGATGATTTCTACGTCCCGCCAGAAAAAACTAGAAACTACACTTACGTGGGAGGTAATTTTTTTAGTCTCTCGAAAGGCAGCATAAACACTATCCTTTTTGCATTGAATGTGGAGATCGAATAACAAGTAAATCTTTGGTAAACCCCTGGCAGTCTGGAATTAGCTCAGCAAAAACACAAAGGAGAATTCAGAAAAGCCACAAGGATGAGAGCCATGGGCTGATAGATGAAGTATAACTGCTGAAGAGGTTTATGCGTAAACCTCAAGCCACTCGTGTTAACTGGTTGACCCTCAGCGTGGACTACCGATCGGTCATTTATATCCTGCCTGGTGACTTCTTTTTAAGTTATTATAGTTTTTAGGTTTGTATTTTTTTATTTTCGCCAACTTTCTGCTTTGAAAACTCTTAAATCTATAGAAGTGTTTAGGGGCACCTGGGTGGCTCACTCAGTTGAGCGTCTGGCTTGGGTTCGGGTCATGATCTCACAGTTTGTGAGTTCGAGCCCCACGTCAGGCTCTGTTCTGACGGCTCAGAGCCTGGAGCCTGCTTCAGATTCTGTGTCTCCCTTGTTGTCTGCCCTTTCCCCACTCACATTCTGTCTCTGTCTCTCTCTCAACAATAAACATTAAAAAAAAAAAAAAAGTGTTTAAAGAATAGTAGGATAAACCCCTAACCTAGATTTACTGATTGTTAACATTTGTCACATTTGTGATACATTTGTTTGCTCTGTGTATACATCTCTCCCATCCATTTGCAAGTTGCAGTATCTCCTAAGATCAAGGACATTCTCCCACATAACCACCATCACACTGGAAATTAACATGGTTATAAAAACACTGTGCAATTATACACTGAATTTACTCATATTTCCCAAATTGTTTCCAAAATGTCCTTTATAGTATTTTTTTTTTTTTCTAATCTAGGTCCAGTCAAAAATCATGTATTTGGTTGTCTCATATTCTTGGTCTCCTTAAATCTGCTGACCCTCTTCAGCAAACGCTGTCTGGACCAGATATAAATACAAATATTTATATGTAATATAAATAATATGCTACAATATAGAAATAATATAAATATAAGTATTTTGGGTTTTGCAGCTCATACTTTTCTTTCGCAACTATCTAACCTCTGTTGTTACAGCATAAAAGGAACCATAAATAATATGCGATAGGAAGGGATGTGGCTGTTTCAATAAAACTTTACTTATGAGCTTATGAGATTCCTATAATTTTCACGTGCCACACGATGTTTTCTTGTTGTTCTTTTTCAACCATTTAAAATTATATAAACCATTCGTATCCCACAGTCATAAAAAAAAGTAGGTGGCAGAATTTGACCCACAGACCATGATTTGCTGGCCCCATATCTAGAGCAATCCTCTGCCTTAAAACAAAAAAAAAGTAAACTTTTTCTTGAAGTATAGGGAAGCATACACAACTTCCAGTGGAGAGCTCGATAATTTTTCACAAAGTGAACACGTTCATGTAACACAACTCAGAATGAGAAATAATTGCGATTTTATTTTTAAAAACACTTCTTGGTGTCACATGTGTTGACCCACAGATGGTTAGCACCAAGTCTAGGTGTGAATCTATAGAATACTTCTAGAAATGGAAATGGAAATCCTTCTAGAAATTGAAGTCTTTACCCTCTGTTTACACAGCAAGGAGATCTGCTTGATCCAAACGTCTTCTGTGTTGATCATCAGCCTGCCTGTTGGGCCAGCCCAGCTAATGCTCCCATTTGGAGCCATTTCCGAGAGGCTGACAGTGCGTGTAGTTTCCATTAACTTGCTTTGCCCCCTCTTATCTTGCTCTCTTCTGGCAATACGCATCACCTCAGGTGGTGCCCAGGCGGGAAGGTGCTATTTTAGAAATGAGCTCAACAAAAGGTAGACATCAGCATGGCCCGCAGTCTGTCAGGTTTGGGCTAAGTGAAGTTCACCTTTATCAGCAGATCTGCTCTTAAGATTTGGAATCATGACAGTCTGGTTAGAGGAAAGCCATCATGCCTGCCAGGTAACGGGCTGGTGGAACTCCTTAGTGCAGTTATTATATCTTGTTTGCTGTATTCTATTTCCCCTGGGGGGCAAAATCTCCTGGCTTTGTAAAAACAGAACTTGGAAAGGCTCTTGTAGACATGGGAATGGTCACGAGTGACTCACGGGATCACCTCCTGAAACACAAGTCAGCTGCCTCACAAGTTCCCTCTGGTGGGTTCCAGCTTTCCTGTTTACTCCAGGCACCTTAAGTCTGTTTATGGTATTTCCAGGGATTATTCTGAGTATGAAGTGGGCATTAATGCATTTTCTCAAGACTTGGAGCCAGCATCAAGTCTCAGTTTCTCCAAAGGTGGCAGAATAGCTTGGATGGCTGTTTAGGACATACATCTTCATTTGGGGGACGTGCAAATAAATAAACAACGGTCCAGCCTTGAGCCTCAGCACGTGGGCTCGGTTACTCATTTTTACAGGGGAGAATTTGTTTGCCGAAGCTCAGTCCCAGGGCAATGTCCACTGCAGACCTTTAATATTCTCCCAGGGAATCTCACACTCACATTCCAAACTAAAGACTACATTCAAAGAGAGGTCAACATCAACACTGAAGAACCGAACAAACGAGGGGGCCACTTTCACTCCTGGGGTTCTCAAGCCCCTTCCTTTTTTTCTAGCCTCAGATCTGATTTTATGTTAAACTCCAGCACTACCCTCCCTCCCCCCACCCCGAGCTATTTTCACTTGGCTGAAGGCATTCAATTATTAGCTCTTCGATTGTGTTAAAAAATGTTTTCCCTGATATTCACATGCCAAATAATAACAGTGAACTAAATCGCGTGGTGGAGAGCCCCTAGTAGAGAAAAGAAACCAATCAGGCATTATGGAACAGGGACTTCCAGGTTAGGAAGGAAAAAAGATGTGATGGACTCTGACGGCTTTTCTTTTTAAGTTTATTTATGAAGATGCGCTTGAAGAGATGATGGGCTTTCTCTTTTTTATTTACAAGGACAAGGTTGTCGACTGTTAAGCAAATCCCACTCTCTGGCTTTCCCATTTAGCTTGTGCTTGCAGCTCACAGCATCATAAATAACCAATGAAGAAAAATACTGCCTAAACATTAAGAGAGATTTCCATAAATGTTCACATTAAAAATGCATGATTGATATGAAGACTTAATTTTAGCCGTCGTGTAGTTGCCGTGTTTTACCGCAGTCATATTTTTCTTTGCATTGTCTGTCTTCGCTATTTAACTTTGAAGCCCGCTAAAGATGAAACATGGGCATTTATGCAGCAGGCACTTATGACTTTAGTGGTTTGGTTGCTGACCTGGCATTTCCGGCTCTGCAGCACCAGCCATTGTGCAACGAGCTTTAACTAGTCAAACCATCTCAAATCAGAGCTGGTGGAGAGAAATCGGAGCACTAGATGTCAGTGAGGGCATGTCGATCGGCTACATTATTTCTATGGTCTGTAAATGTGGTGAAATAACATACACAGAATCGCTCCCTCTACTCCAGCTACGTGACTTCTAGAGTTCTGCAAAGTTGTGCCAGATCTACTCACTGAGATTAATAAGCTTCCTGAGTGAGAGCTGAGTAACGTAGACGTAATGTTCTTACAGCGACTTTCTTTTCATCACAACCAAACTCGAGCCTTAGCATGAGAGAAAGACCCAGAACAGTCTCTCAATGACTATTATTGTTGTTGTTCTTCACGCAAGCTGGGGAGCTTCTGATCAATTATTATTCTTTGTCAGAACATGTTAGCAAATATTCTGAAATGCAGTTTGTAAAATGGTTGATGTTGGGAACATAAGCAATAGTAGCCTTTTTTTTCCTTTTTTTTTTTTTTTTTAAGTTCTCGGCTACTAAACTTTTGGCGAGGTGGTCAGGCTGCTGGGGTTTTGGGGGGAAATATCACGCTGGCTTTGGGAGGATTGTGAGGCTCAAGTCAGGAAGCATCCAGAATCTTGGGGTTCAGAGCTCTTTGGCTGTCTGGGAAGACAGGCTGCAAAATGTCCTTTATTTCCACTGGAATGGGGCTGCTCCAAAACTTCTTTTCTTTGCCTTCCAGTCCCAAACATAAAGAGTGCAGAGATATTTCAAGCCAAACAGATGAAAATGATAAAGCAAATATGGCCATGATAGGTTAAGGATGGAGAAAGACCCTACGGATTAGACAGGAAGCAACCAGTGTCGTGTCTCAGAGGAGGAAAGATCTAGGAGCATCTAGATCGGGACCAGAATTCTAAAGAGAAATTCTGATGATTTTATGAATACAGTTCTGCTTCCCAAGTATATTCCAAAGTTTTTAAGAATTAAGGCCCTTGGCTTCTCTATGTCTTCCACATAGAACTCCCAGCAAGGAAACTTCCACATAGGTTCAATACATGTCTACTGAGACTCATATTGTGCTTTAAAAAATTCTTATTATATTTAACTTCTGTGTATATTTTGAGGATTACTACGATGGTGAACTTTAAAGTACAGCTAATTCACATTCCTTTCTGTAAAGTATACACATGAACTAAGTGCGGAAAAGTCCAGAAATAGCCTAACCTTGTTTCTAGCCTTAGATTCAAGAGACTAACCTGTGAGGTATTTGGAGAAGCAACACTGCCACCTTCTGGTAGATACATGTCACCTTTCTTCCAGCCCCTCAATGGCACTCCTGCCCATCCATACCTGGTGTGTTGATCAATACAGATCTGATTTGAAGTTTTGCAGCCTTTAAATCAAATCTAAATAATATCTTAGTTAAGATGGCTAAAGATAAAGGCCTCTAATTCCCTTTACTTGTTCTCTTTTTGGAGAGGGCTATGATTTGATATTAAAGAAAATCTTACCCCAAGCCCACTATGATATTAGCTTTAAGAACTACTACTTTACTGGAGATATTCTAATAGACATTCACCATGACCAAGAATGTTCTGGAATTAGGGTTGGGGATGAAAGAGTGGATGCAGGAAGAGTATGGTAAAAATTCACAGACAAGTTGTATCAGTCGTGGAAAAAAATGGATGAGCAAGCTGGCCAGACAGCCTGCCTAAGAGGTGAACAGGTAAACAGGATTTTCCACAGTGTGTTTTCAGACTTGTAGCTCATCTTACTTGCAGTTAAATGTTTCCATTTACGCTTACTGAGTAGTTTTCTGGAAACTCATGTGGACTCGTGGTTTTCCTAGAGCTGGGGCACATAGTATGTGTCAATAAGAATCGATTGCATGAACGAATGCATGTGAAAATGTCTTTGCTTTTATAACCCATTTCTGAAATACTCTGAGGGACTGGTGCTGGAGAGTAGATTGTGAATTTTCCTGATTTTTCTTACCTATTCCCCAGGCCAAACAGTGCTCACGGACCAATCCGATTCCTTTTTCTTCCACTTGATCCATGTAAGGAAACACTGAAGACACTGAAATAGCAAACAAGATCAGTATCTTTTCAAGGGAATGCTATAATGACTGGGGAATTTTCCGCCTACAGTAATATGCACCTTTGTCTTTGACTAGGCTATCTTGTAATTCTGGAGGGAGAAAGGCAGCTTGTAGATAACAGAGAGCAATGCAAATCTGTCAAGAGACATACAGATAAATTCTGTCCAGTGGAGGGTTGACTTTCTTCCCATTTCCCTCCCCAGAAGCACGACTTTTGTTTCCATTTGCAAATTCATTTCAGTGTTCCTGATTTGTCAATGTCTCTGCTTTTTGGCTTCTCCTCTGAACTACTTGTTAATAAAGCCTTATTCTCTTTCTTGACCACCAAGCAATGTGTTATGTCCATTTAACTGGGTTTCCTGTTGAGTTATTTGAGGTCCTCATTTTACTAATTTCCTCATTTAGTTAATGAGTTAAATGGAAAGTTTGTTACCTGTTTGTTTTATATTTATATTAGAGTTATGACTGTACTTTGTTTTTTAAGTTTCTTTAACATTCAACATTAAAACAGAAGTCTGGGACCTCTTTCCATTTTGTTTCTATGGGAACTGCATCACGGGTATTCTGAAATTCAGTTCCCTTGCCCTCTTGGGAGCAGAGGATGCTGCTGAGACTAACCGAGACCATCTGGTGACAAAATGCAGGAGACTGTCCATCTTCCAGGGTGATGCTCCCTACCCCTGGCTGGGTGACTCTATAATCATCCTAGTGATCCTGCCTCCGTGTAAAATTATTTGTGGAATTCCTTTGCTGGAAGTTTCTTCAGAGCCTGCTGCATATTCTTTGGACTGTCTTGGGTTTGCAACATTGGTGAATTTCACCTGACACCTGGTTTTGGTATTGGTCAGATCTGCTTCCAATTCTAGCTTTCCCATGCACTAGCTGTGGGCTCTCATGCAAGTTACTAGCTGTTTCTGGTTTACTCAACTGTAAAGTAAGGCTGTGGTAAAGAGTGGTTGAAATAATGCATATGTGTCTGACACAGAAGCGCTTCCTAAATCTTACCTATTACTGCTATGCAGAGAGGAAAAACATAGCTGGGAACTGGAGGCTCCCCTTTCTTCTTTGGCGTTGCTGAATTGCAGCTATGCAGGGACACTATGGGAGTGAAGTTTGAAGGTCATGGTTAATTCAGACAGCACTGTATCCATATAACCTTCACAGGGCCAGAAGGATCTAAGGGGCTGGGTGGACTGGGTCAGGCAATTTCGTGAAGCAAGTAGACCAGCCCATAACCTTTTAATTGCTTGATTGTGGGGAAGTCCAGGGAGTCCCGGAGGAGGTCCCAGAGGTCAAAATGTGGTGAGAAGCATGCAGCAGACAAGGGCAGTGGGTGCAGACCGACCACTATAAAAACATTTCAATATTTATTCACTGGTGTGGCTCTGCTGAGTTAAAATCAGCCCTGGGAAAGGGTGGACGAGCTGAATTGGGTTGGGAAGGAAACCTTCCCAGACACACCCCAGGCATACTCTGTAGGAATGGCCAAAGGCAGCCAGATGACCGAGTAAAGTACTCCTTTACCTTCCTCCTGATAGATTTTATGTGTGCGACGAACAGCTGGTAGGGAGAAGTTCTTTAGTAATAGGCTGGCTTTACCACGCTGCCCTTCTAATACAAGTTTCATGGGCTGGGAGATATTACTACTAAACCAGGATGTAATTAAATAGAGCCTTCTTAAATATCGCGGCAGCACAGTACCCTTTAGAGACTCCTCAAAGGTGGCAGTGATACAAACCACATCTACTCACTCCCTTCCCCAATAATTTCCACACAATAGGAAGGGCTGACTCTAAAATTTACATCTCAGGCACAGAAAAAGGAATTCTTACACCAGTGAACCACCAGAGCTGAATTTTAAATTCAAAAGCTGTAGAGTGCCTGGGGGCCATAGCTGACTCTTGAGCTCAGCTGAGGTCCTGATCTCAAGGTTTGTGGGTTTGAGCCCTGCATCGGGCATCCGTGCTGATGGGGCAGAGCCTGCTTGGGATTCCATCTCTCCTTTGCTCTGCCCCTCCCCTGCTTGTGCTTGCTCGTTCTCTCTCTCTCTCCCCCAAAAAAATGAACTTAAAAAATTAAAATAAATAAATTCAAAAGCCATAAAAGAAGGTTTTGAAGATCATGTGTATTATTATTTTGGTTACTCGGCTGTGTTATTGACGTTTAACTTCAAATATCCAGTAGAGGGCATGAAAGGAATCGTTCAGCTCACTGTATTGAAGACTGGATTTGAACAGCAAAAATGAAAAAGCAAATGCAAATAGACTATATATTGCAACTTTCAGACACAGAACAACAAGTAACCTTTAAATACCAACCTAAAATACATTGCAACCTTTACTTTTTCTTATTATCTATACCCTTCATTTAAAATATAATACATGTCTTATTTCTCTAGAATTAGATCTATTATATTTATAAAATACACAAAATCATTAAATATCACTGATTTTATTCAGCTGTATTAGAGACAAACTCGAAAACTATATGAAACTTTAGTAGAGACATTATGCTAGGCATTGGAAAAATAATTTTACTCTTTATAACAACTCTAAGAAGCTGATTTTACTTTTTCCATTTTGCTGAGTCTCAGAGAGGCTGCAAATTTCACCATATTTCTGTTTGGCAATCTTCACTATTTCTCATAAAACCTTTGGGAAGTGAGAAATAAATTTTCCTTATGAGTAGACTCAGGATCTATAATCCATTTTTTAAAAAAGTTTATTTGTTTATTTATTTTGAGGGAGGAGAGAGAGAGAGAGAGAGAGAGAGAGAGAGAGAGAGAGAGAGAATCCCAAGCAGACTCTGTGCTGTCAGCACAGAGCTTGATGTGAGGCTTGGACCCACAAACTGTGAGATCATGACCTGAGCCGAAACCAAGAGTTGGACACTTTACCCACTGAGCCACCCAGGTGCCCCAGGATCTAGAATCCTTAATTTAGATCATGAAATAACTAGCCTGATCAATTCTGTATTTACATATTTTGCACATTATCTTTACCTGTATTTTTTTATAGCCAAATCCTGTATCTAGTTGATAATAATGTGTTTCTAATTAATTAATTGATTGATTTGTGTTTTTCTTTCTGATTAGCTTCTTAGTGACTCTCCAAACTCATCAGCACTCTCATATTCATAAAAGAAATCTGTCATCTGTTCTAGAGTGGCAACCTTGCCTTATATCGTTCTCTTTATAGCTTGGAGTCACAGTGTTTCTATGATGAAGTTCAAGGGCCACCTGCGTTAAAACATTTTGAGGAGTTTGTTTAAAATAGAGATTATTGGGGCGCCTGGGTGGCGCAGTCGGTTAAGCGTCCGACTTCAGCCAGGTCACGATCTCGCGGTCCGGGAGTTCGAGCCCCGCATCAGGCTCTGGGCTGATGGCTCAGAGCCTGGAGCCTGTTTCCGATTCTGTGTCTCCCTCTCTCTCTGCCCCTCCCCCGTTCATGCTCTGTCTCTCTCTGTCCCAAAAATAAATAAAAAACGTTGAAAAAAAATAAAAAATAAAATAGAGATTATGGGGGGGTTGCTGGGTGGCTCAGGTTAAGCATCCAACTCTTGATTTTGGCTCAGGTTTGACCTAATAGTTCGGTGAGATTGAGTCACACATTGGGCTCTGCTTTGATGGTGCAGAGCCTGCTTGGGATTCTCTCTCTCTCTCTCTCTCTCTCTCTCTGCTCCTCCCCTGCTCACGTTTTCTTTAAGAAAATAAATAAACATTAAAAAAAGATGCTTTTAAATAGAGATTATTGGATCACAAAAAAGATCAGTTGAATCAGAGAATCTTGGGTTGAAGCCCAAGAGACTGCCACTTCACATGCTCCCCCAGATATTTCTCGTACACACTAAGAACTGAAGAACTGGCTTAGTGAGAAGGACTGATGCTCAGGCAGCACTTACTGAAACTTTTATTGTCAGTGACAGTGCTTCAGGCATTGGACCACTTCAACTTCCATGTGGTAATGGTTGGCTACCAAGCCACCACAGGTTTGTGAGAAAACATGGCTTGAGGAAGCAGAAGTACCTAGATTTTGATTACTTACTTAGCCTCAGTTTCTAAATATTAAAGTAATACTCAAGTAAAATATCTTGCAGTATTTTCTGAAGATGAAATTAGATAATACAGGTCAAGCACCTACCTAGCACAGTGTCTGGTCCATATTAGAGCCTCAGGTAATGGTAGATGCTAATATCTCAACATGAAATCCCATTAAATAGATGTAATACTAATATTTGGTGTTTGAGAGAATAGGGCTCCTAGAAAAGGAGGCTTTACTATATGCTTATAGAAAAGGCATGCTATCATTTGCATTAAATTTGAATTCTAATGAAAGATCATAACTAAGTATGTCTTCTGGAAATAGTTTTCCCAATAAAATGATAGATAAGCATAATTCTTCCTTCATGCACATGTTGCCAAATTCTAGAGGACAATTCTGCATGGGTCTCTTCCATTTCTGCATGTCTTAGGAGGAAGGCATTGATTGCTTTTTGTTCTGTACTATATTTACAAGGATATTTATATAGCAAACAGCTTTAGGAAATAGAGTGTCTATTCTGGAGCAAAGTCAGGCATGTTTATTGCTCATTATAAAAGATTCATGTACCCTATATTCAGAGTTCCTGTCCTGAAATGCAACCAACTGTGTGCAGGCTTCCTTTTGGGTCCATCTGTGTCTTACCCATGCAACTTCGGGGCAAGAACAAGTGATAGAAATATGCTGATGCTCAAGCTGCTTGCTAAGTCATAATAATAAAGTCCTTTGTGTCTGATCCAGAAGTCTCGTGTGTGTGTTTGTGTGTGTGTGTGTGTGCGTTTGTGTGCGTCTTTTTGCCAGTATTCATGAAATTGTGGCAGGCTAACTCATTGGATTTCAAGTATGGTAATGTCTTTCAACACTTCACAATTCTCTTAAAAAATATATTTTTAAAGTTTATTTATTTTGAGAGGGGGATAGGGGCAAAAAGAGAGGGAGAGAGAGAATACCAAGCAGGCCCTGCACTGCCAGCATGGAGCTTGATGCAAGGCTCAATTTCATGAAACATGAAATCACGATCTGAGCCAAAATCAAGAGTCAGATGCTTAACCGTTGAGCCAGCCAGGTGCCCTGACCCTTCACAGCTCTTGACACTAAAAGCCCCTTTACCACAAGTTTTGTACATTTTACTTTTTTTTTAATAGCCCAAGTGCTTGTCTGGTGAAATCAACAATGACAACAGAGGGGCACCTGGGTGGCTCAGTTGGTTGAGTGTCCAACTTCGTCTCAGGTCATGATCTCATGGTTTGTGGGTTCGAACCCTGCATCAGGCTCTGTGCTGACAGCTCAGAGCCAGGAGCCTGCTTCAGATTCTGTGTCTCCCTCTCTCTCTGCCTCTCCCCTGCTTGTACTCTGCCTCTCAAAAATGAATAAATGTTAAAAAAATTAAAAAACAAAAACAAAAACAAAACAATGACAACAGAAAGAAGTAGGTGACTTGACCAAGATCACAGAGCTAGTTCCAAGCTGGGTCTGGAAACTGAGACTCATGACTTCTAGTCCTCTGCTTTTTTTCTATAGGCAGTGATATCTGGCTAAACATCTCAGGCAAAGAATACAGAAAAAGAACACGATTTTATCAGGATAGCTAGAAATATTATCATGGAAAAGAAATGCTTTCTATTGGGCAACTGGGATAGGAACAGAGTTATTCTTAGGCCATTTCTTCAAGAAGCTTTTCCATGTAAAAATGTATGGACTGCAAAAGGTTCTAAAAGGGAAGTTTACAGCAATAGTTTCAGAAGCAAGAAAAATCTCAAATAAACAACCTAACTTTACACTTAAAGGAGCTAGAAAAAGAACAAACAACACCCAACACCAGCTGAAGGAAGGAAATAATGAAGATTAGAGCATAAATAAACAGAATAGAAACTAAAAAACAATAGTGCAGATCAATGAACCAGGAGGTGGTTCTTTGAAAAGATCAACAAAGTTGATATATCTCTAGCTAAACTCATGAGAGAGACAGAGAATGAGGTGGGGGGGGGGGGGAGAGGACTCAAACAAAATCACAAATGAAAGAGGAGAAATAACACCTGACACAGAGAAATTGTAAGAGAA